CTATCTATCTATCTATCTATCTATCTATCTATCTATCTATCTATCTACCTACTTACCTACCTACCTACCTACCTACCTACCTACCTACCTACATCTATCTGTCTGTCTGTCTGTCTGTCTGTCTGTCTGTCTGCCTACCTGCCCACCTACCTACCTACCCTGTTTTCCCCAAAATAAGACGTCCTCTGATAATAAGCCCAATCGGGCTTTTGAGTGCATGGCAATAAGGCCAAGAGCTTATTTCAGGGTTCAAAAAAATAAAAGACAGGGTCTTATTTTCAGGGAAACACGGTATCTCTCTCTCTCTCTCTCTCTCTCTCTCTCTCCCTCCCTCCCTCCTTCCTTCCCTCTCTCTCTCTCTCTCTATCTCGCTATCTGTTTCTGGTCCAGAAAGTCCCGTTGCCTCTTGAAAAATACACCTTTTTATGTAATCACTGGAAATCAAGCTCAAATGAGATTTGTGATTCTTTAGCATATTGTGAGGTCCTTTGTGCTCTCTAAACTTGGCTGTTTTCTTGCAGAAGGTTCATTACCCAACTAGGTGACATCATCGGTGGAAATATTCTCCTCTATTGGAGACACTGTATTGCTTGCCAGTGTTGATCCTTCCTCTGGACCAACAATCGTCCTCAACGCCCCCGTCCCCCCCTCGGACCTAGTAAATTAGCACCAGGTAATTTAGTGGCATTCATTGCAAATTTGCATGCAAAGGAGGTGCCCCTTTCCCCACCATGGCTTCCTTCAGAAGTATTTGGATTGCAATGGTTGGTGGGTTTCTTGCAGACATTACATTACTAAACTAGGTAACTTCATCAGTGCTTGGGTTGCAATGTCTAGCATGGCCTATTCCAGTGGGGTCTGTAACCTTAAACACTCAAAGAGCCATTTGGACCCGTTTCCCACAGAAAAGAAAACACCGGGAGCCACAAAACCCTTCCCGTGCCTGACTATTTCTTGAGCGGACACAAAACTAGCGTATGTAGTTGAATTAAATGTTCTGTTTTCTTCTGAAACTTTTCTTTTCTTGGATTTATCCATGGTTGGCCTCTACCGGGGGTTGAAAACGCTCAATAAATTGTTGTGACGAGGTGGGTGTCGCACATTGGCGGTTGTGATGCATATTTTGAGTGACAGGGAGCCGCAGCAGAGGGTGTGAAAAGAGCCACATGCGGCTCCAGAGCTGCAGGTTGCTGACTCCTTGCCTAGATTCACCCATCTGGAAGAAGGTCCAGAAAGGCTTGGATGGCTCAACTTCTCATTTCCCTTCTAATTCTATTTTTCATAACTGTACTGTAGGCTTCCCCAATCTGGTGCCCTCTCTCTTTCTTTGGCCCCCCACCTTCTTTTCAGCCACTCTATGATCATCTCCTTTCTGGACCATGATGTCCGAGAACAGAAATCCTAGAAAGGCAGATATAAGTAGAGAATGGGATGTTGGGCTCATCTAAAGAAAGAAAGGAAAAAAAAAAAAAGGACCATAATAGGAATTCAATGATGGCTTTTCTTTTCCGAGTTCAGAACTCCCATCCAGCCCTCACGAAATTCAACAACTTGAGTTTCAGGGAACTTGAATTGTCCATATCCCCAGCTCCATCTCTCAGCCCCAAATACAGAAGGACCCTACTTGATGATCCAAAGTTCTCTGGGTGGGATTGGTGGCACCAGGAGTCGCGGACAGGTGCTGGCAATCCAAGGGTGCTGGAGCCTTGTGAGGTCAGGGGGTGCGGTTGAGCGACAAAGTGGAAGACGGACCTGTGGGAAGGCACAGGGCAGGAACTTTCAGGAGGGCCGGACAGTTCCTTCCTTCGGAACGGAAAGAATCCTGGAAAGAAAGAGGGGAAGGAAGGAAGGAAGGAACCTAGGAATTCCGAAACAACTTGGGAAGGACAGCAAAGGAAAGAAAGATATGAGGGAAAGAAACGGGGAGGAAAGGGGAAGAAAGAAAGAAAGAACGGGGAGGGAAGGAAAAGGAAGGAAGAGGGAAAGGAGGAGGAGGGAAGGAAGGTTAAAGAAAGGAAGAAGGGGAAGGAAGAAAAGAAAGAACCAAGAATGGGGAGGAAGGAAGGAAGGAAAGAAAGAGGGGACAAAGAAACCCAAAAAGAAGATAGAAATTCGGGGCAGGGAGGAGAACTAAAGAAAGAAAGGGGAAAGAGGGGAAGGAAGGAAGGAAATAGGGAAATGGGAAGGACAGAAATGAAAGGGGAAGATGGAGGGAGGGAGGAAGGCGGAAGGAAGGAAGGAAGGAAGGAAGGAAGAAAGACCGAAAGAAACAGAAAGAGGGTCCTGGCAAGGAAGGGAGGAGCAAGGAGGGTCCTCGAAAGAAAGAGGGGAAGGCTGGACAGGAAATCGGACTCAGGAAGAGAGAAATTCAACGAGGGAAGACGGGAGGGACCAGGAAGGACGGAAGAAAGACGAAAGGATCTCCCTCCCTCCCTCCTTCCTAGGAAGGCAAGACGGGGAAGGAGGGCTCGGATGGGAGATAGGAGGGAAGAAAGAAAGAAAGAGGGGAAGGATGGCAGGAAAAGGAAAGGACAGGAAGAGAGAATGAAAGGGGGGGACGGAAGGAAGGAAGGACCTTCCTTCTTTCCTTCCTTCCTTCGGAGGAAGGAGGAAGGAAGGAAGGAAGAAAGAACTTCCTTCCGCTCCCTCGGGACGGAAGGTTTCCCTCCCTTCCTTCTTTCGAAAGAGGGGAATCTCCTCTTCCTTCCGAAAGCATTCCTTCCTTCCTTCCTTCCTCCCTCCTTCCTTTTCCTTCCCTCTCCCCTTCTTTCCTTCTCCCCTTCCTCTTTCCTTTCCTCCCTTCCCCTTCTTCCTTTCCTCCCTTTCCTCTCCCGGTTTTCCTCCCCTTTTCTTCTCCTTCCCTCCCTCTTTTCCTTCCCTCCCCCTCCCTCCCTCCCTCCCTCCCTCTTTTCCTTTCTTCCTCCACCCTTCCTCCTTTTCCTTCCTTCCTTCCACTTCCTTTCTCTTTTCCTTCCTTCTTTCCCTCCCTCTTTTCCTTCCCCTTCTTTCCTCCCTCCCCTCCTCTCTTTTCCTTCATTCCTTCCCCTTCCTTCCTTCCTCTCTCCATCCTTTTCCTCTTCCTTCCTTCTTCCTTCCTTCCTTCCTCCTCCCTCCCTCCTTTCCTTCCTCCCTCTTTTCCTTCCTTCCTTCTCCTTCTTTCCTCCCTCCCTCCCCTCCCTCTTTTCCTTCATTCTTCCCCTTCCTTCCTTCCTCTCTCTCCATCCCCTTTTCCCCTTCCTTCCTTCCTTCCTTCCTTCATTCCTTCCTTCCTTCCTTCCTTCCTTCCTTCCTTCTTCCTTCCTTCCCCAGCAAAACCAATCCCCACCGGGGCTCCCTTCTCCCTCGCCCAGCCCGCTTCCAAGACACCTAGTCGTGGAAGAGGAGCCTGGACGAGCACCGCGCCTATAAGGTCCCGGCTGGAGGGGGGCGGGGGGGGGGTTTTCTCTCCCTGGGGTCGCCGCTTCAAGCGGGGTCGGGTGGTGTGTGGGTTGCTTTCCCTCCCCTTCCCCTCGGAGGAAGAAGCAGCCTCCGCCGCGGGGCTCCGCTCCAGCCTCCCGACCGCGGCGCCGGCAGGGTTAACGCGCGTGGGAGAGAAGGAAGGCAGGAAGGCAGGAGGGCGCGCGCTGCCGCCGCCGCCGCCGCCGCTGCTGCTCTCGCCGCTCCGCCGTGTCCTTCGCGCAGGGCGCTGCGTGTGCGAAGCCTCCCCGGCCGCTGTGGCTGGACCGGGGAGCCCGCGTCCTGGTCAGCGATGGAGACGCTGCCATGACAACCCGTCGGTGGGCGCGCGCGGGGGGGACCGCGGAGCAGAGGCGCCCGGCGAGCGGGGCGAGAGGCGCGGCGGGGATGCCAGAAGTGGCGGCGGCGGCGGCGGCGGCGGCGGCAGGCTCCTGCCCGCGTCTCCCGCCCGCCCGCCTCTTGCCTTAAGCCGCCGCTTCCCAGCAGCGGAGCCGCACAAGCCCGGACGGCCGACCGACCAAGGTTGAGAGCCGCAGAGCAGTCGGCGTCGGGGCTCCGGAGCGCCTTCTGCCCGCTTGGGCTGGCGAACGAGGGAGCGAGCGCGCCGAGGGGAAAGAGCCCCAGCCGGGGGCCGCCTCCCCATCTCCTTCGCCCGCGTCCTCCTGCCTGCCTGCCTCCTCGGTGGGAGCGCGGAAAGTTTTGCCGTCGGAGCTTTTGCAGCCACTTTTTTGATTTTTTTTTTTGAAACCCGGACCGACTAGAAGAGCTCGGGGCTCCCCCGCTTGCCCCGGGACGGCCGTCCCGTCTTCAGCCGCCTCTCCCCCCACCCCCTGCGCCTGACATCGGGAGACCCTCTGCGGACGCCCCGCCTCTCCGGAGCTGGATTTTACCCGGCCGCCCCGTTAACCGTCGAGCAGCCTCCGCTCTTCGCCGCCTAGAAGCGCCTCGGGGCTTTGCTCTTCGCTCCGCGCTCGCTGCTACTACCACCGCCGCCCCTCTCTCCATCAGCATCGCCTCCCACCCACCCCCAGCTACCGGCGCAGTCTATCTTAGCCTGGAGGGACGTCTCTCTGCATCCCAGGATGGGGGTCGGGGGGTGCTTAGTCCTGCCTTGGCGGTGCCTGGTGGTCGTGTGTCTGAGGCTGCTCTTCCTTGTGCCCGCAGGTGTGCCGGTGCGCAGCGGAGATGCCACCTTCCCCAAGGCCATGGACAACGTGACGGTCAAGCAAGGAGAGAGCGCCACTCTCAGGTAGGAACAGATCGCTTTTGGGGTTACTCTTGATGACCTCGGCGGGGGGGGACTCTTGTTATTGGGGATGGGGCGTTTCCCCTCCTGGGGGATGGGGGCTGACCAGCGGGTGGGGATCAGTTGGAAACGGATCTCTTCCATTGTCCCAAGTCAGAAGGATCTCCTGCTAGTGGTTGGCAGTGCCCACCCAGGGAGTTGTGATGTGGTACCCAAGCATGGAGTTGCTTGCTTGCTTGCCTGGTTGGAGAGGCAAATTCTGAGAAGGAGGATGCAGAGACATTGCCTCGGGGTACCTGTGGTGGTGTGGGGGGCATTGAAAGCCTTTTCGAGGCTGATGTGTGTCCTCCGTTTAAGATGCTGTTGTTGTAGCTTGCAAAGGAATATCATGGTTGTTGTAGCCATGGTGGAACTTATGACGAGAAGTCGTGTGAGAGGGGAGAGAAGGGTGAAGCCTTTCCTTCTGCGTTTTAAAAGGATGGGGGTGTCGGGCAGTTGGACAGCTGAGTTTGTGTGAACTTGCAGGATGGAGACCTTTAAAAGAAGTTCTGGAGATAGGTTGGTGGGTGCCACAATGTCTTGGGGGACATATTTGTGAACCGATGGGTGAGAAAATAAGGGGTAGGTCTGCCTTGCATACATGCTTTTCCTCTCCTTTCTCCCTGCTCCCCAATTCCTGTCTCTGGTTCTAACTGGGATTTTGATGTCTCTCCCCGAGAATTGCATCGATTGCTTTTATATTTTCTGGACCGATCTGTTAATATCAAAACAGTCTGTGGACTCCTGGAGCTGAATTCCGATAGGCTTGTTCTCTCTCCTCTCGCACGCAGTTTTTATTTTGTACTCCTTGGCTGAGAAAGAGATGTAAAGGGGCTCATAAACAGATGTCTTACTTTTGGTGCGTGTGTGTGGGTGGGTGGGTAGGTGGGATCAACAACGCAGCCAACTTTCTCTTTGCCTTCCCTGAGTAAATTTACAGGCATGGGACTTCTGCAAAAGGAAAAAAAAAAGAGAGGGAAATTCTTGCTCGAGAAGCACCTGCGAGCTTGAAAGGAGCAATGGGGCCGCGCTCATCGTCATCTTGCAAGGATCAAAGGGATGGATAGCCTAGCACTTGTACCAGAATGAAAACAGGATGAGTTTGGGAGCATCCGAAAGAGGAATTAATTCAACGAGTTAATTTAGAGTCCTCTGAACTGGGTGTAATACACATAGTCGAGTGGTCCAAAATGGAACCACGTGGCTTGCTGAGTGGCTACCAGTGGAAATGATAGATAGATAGATAGATAGATAGATAGATGGATAGAATTCTTTATTGGCCAAGTGTGATTGGACACACAAGGAATTTGTCTTTGGTGCATAGGCTCTCAGTGTGCATAAAAAGAGAAGATACATTCGTCAAGAATCATAAGGTACCACACTTAATGATAGTCATAGGGTGCAAATAAGCAATTGAATAGTACTGTAGGTCTTTAAAGGATGCCCAACAGGGTTGGTTTAGTGAGTAACAGAAATGCCAGCCAATGCCAGCAGAAATCCCTGCCAATGCCAGAACTGGACCATCCAGAAAAGTCTATATAGTTGGCTTTGGTTCAATCTATACAAGCAATAATGTGTATTGCTTTCTACTGCTCAGGCCTGCTTTCAATATTTTATTCCCTGCACCTAAAATTCCTTGTTCATACATTCGTAGAGAAAAAGAGGTATTTAAAGGATGGAGCTTTCCACAGTCTTCATGAAAATGTGCTTCGGTGTTGGGTGTTTGTGATCACCGAGGTCTCTAATCGGTGGCTATCGTTATTTCATTCATAGGTATCAATGGGTGATGGGAGGGAGGCACAATGCTTTGCATTATGCAATAGCGATCTGAAGCCCTGAAGGCTGGATAGATGGCTTCATTTCTTCAAGAATTTACAGTGAGGATTTGACATTACCCTGTGTATGTTTTATAGTTGCCTTTCTCACCAAGAAATAAGCCCAGGCTTTTTGTGTGTGTGTGTCAATTCTAGCCTGACATGTCCATCAGCCATCTCTCCAGGCAGCGACTACTCTGAGCTCTTTTCAGTTGCAAAGATAACTTGTCTTTGGACAAACCCTTCCATTTTATCCCTTCCCAATGATAGCCCTGTGCAGTAGGTGGCACCCCAAATCTTCTCATCAGCTTTCATGGACAAATGAGGACAAATATAAGCAGCTTTCTGTAGTCTACTGATGGTTTATCAAAAGGAACATTCAATTGCCACCAGTAGACTCAAATCTCCCTCCCTCCCTCCCATCCCCCCCCTCTCTTACACACACTCAGAAGTAAGGTCCACTGGAGAGAGGAATTTATTTCTGCATAGACTAGATATAGTTTAGGAGCATCTCCAATGCCTGATTTAAATGGGTTTAACCCTAGAAGAGACCATTCAATTGCCACCAGTAAACTCAAATATCACAGAGACAGAGACAGAGACAGAGAGAGACACACACACACACACAGAGAGAGACAGAGAGAAACAGAGACAGAGAGAGAGAGAGAGAGAGAGAGAGAGAGAGAGACAGACAGAGAGACAGAGAGAGAGAGAGACAGAGAGACAGTGAGACAGAGAGACAGAGAGACAGAGAGAGATTTAACCAGAAGTAAGGTCCACTGACTCAGAGGAATTTATTTCTGCATGGACAAATGAGGACAAATATAAGCAGCTTTCTGTACTCTACTGATGGTTTATCAAAAGGAACATTCAATTGCCACTAGTAGACTCAAATCTCTCTCTCTCCCTCCATCCCTCCCATCCCCCCCTCTCTCTCTCTCACACACACACTCAGAAGTAAGGTCCACTGCATAGACTAGGTATAGTTTAGGAACATCTCCAGTGCCTGATTTAAATGGGTTTAACCCTAGTTGTTGCATCTCTTCAATGGTAGTTATTTTCTGAATAAGGTGAAGGATCACCAGTAGGATTGTCAGCCAACTCATTAGAGAGGATCCTAGGCATTAATTAGATCCTTAAGACACCTGAGGTCATACTTTGGTGTAGGATCTTGTGCTGTCATCAGCGATGACCAAAAAATGCCAGAACAAGTCTTGTCATCGGTTGACTTTGTTCTTCGTTATATTTTGTTGATGGATCTATTTCATGGTGTCCTTCAAGCCAAGGTTTCCAAGATTAGGAAAGGAAACATGACATCGGTAACCCTACAACTGAGCTTGGTTGTGGTAGCAGGACACAGTTCAACAGATGAATTAGTTTTAGCATCTCTGTTTTCCCTTGAGGAGCTACAGAGGAAGTCCAGAGCGGTATGAACTTACTTTGCTACGATAAATCCACCTTTCCCCAAGGAAAATATTGTTTTGTCTCCATTGTCCATTATCTGTGTCCATTTTTGTGTTTGGAATGTTAAGGGAGATGCGTACATTAAGATTGCGCTACAGGGGGGAAGATGATGGCGAAATGTTTAGGAACCCCTGGTTTAATCTTGGTTTGCTGTTGAGGAACTCGGTGTGTTTTGTGAATCTAGCCCATATGTTTTTTTTTGTGTTTTTTTTTCACTTTAATGTGTTGTCTGAACCCCTGCAAGGAGGTTAATTGTGTAAGCGGGTTAAGAGTGTTGAAGGAATGAAGCTTCTGAATCTGTCGAAAAGGACACACATTTTTGGAAATGGCCACTGCAGTTTCTTAAATGGATGCAAATTTTGGAACATAGAGGAGAGCAAGCCGTGCCCTTGGAAGGACCTAGAGAGCTGTGGGAGGCCTCATTCAGTTTCTCAATGGCCCATTTGTTGGTCCTCCCAGCTGCTAGCTCATCATTTATCTCCCCCCCCTTCTTTTTTTTTTTTTTTTTTTGCCTGGGACAGAAAGACCCATTGGGGTAGGCAGACAAATCACATGCCACTATTCATGGGGCAGCCATCTTCTCCTTGGCCTTTTCCAACCGTCTGATGCTAACTATTCCTTTTCTTAACATAACAGGAGGGAAGATGATTAAAGTTTGGAATCCAGGGCAGATGGAGAGATAATGAGAGAAAGAGAGAGATGGGTAGTCCAAACATGGTGGATGGGGGGGGGGGAGTTCAGAATTAACTGCAGTCCATTCTCTCTCTCTCTCTCTCTCTCTCTCTCTCTCTCTCTCTCTCTCTCTCTCTCTGTCTCTTTCTCTCTCTCCGTCCCTCCTTCCTTCCCTCCCTCCCTCCCTCTCTGTCTCTCTCTCAACTGTTTTGTTCATTGATTTTTCAGTTATGTAGAAAGCAACTATTAACAAGCTGGCCATTTAAGATAGAGATAGATGATATGGGTTTGGCTGTCATTGTCAGTGTGTGTGTGTGTGTGTGTGTGAGAGAGAGAGAGAGTGAAAAAGAGGGAGAGAGAGAGAGACAGACAGAGAGACAGAAAAGACAGACATACAGATAGAAAAGACAGTCAGACAGAGAAGAGAAAGACAGAGATAGAAGAGGGAGAGGGAGAGAGAAGAGAAGAGAGAGAGAGAAGAGAAAGACAGAGAGAAGATAGAGAAAAGTCAAACAGAGAGGAGAGAGAGAGAGAAGAGACAGACAGACAGACAGAGAAGAGAAAAACAGATATAGAAGAGAGAGAAGACAAAGAGAAAAGTCAGACAGAGGAGAGAGAGAGAGAAGAGACAGACAGAGAAGAGAAAGACAGATATAGAAGAGAGGGGGAGAGAGAGAAGAGGAGAGAGAGAGAGAGAGAGAAGAGAAAGACAGAGAGAAGACAGAGAGAGAAGACAGACAGAGAGGAGAAAGAGAGAGAAGAGACAGACAGATATAGAAGAGAGAGGGGGAGAGAGAGAAAAGAAGAGACACACACACACACAGAGAAGAGAGACAGAGAGGGAGGGAGGGAGGGAGGGAGGGAGAGAGAGAGAGAGAGAGAGAGAGAGAACAGAAATGAGGGCTAAAGGTGATTTGGCAGAGACTCCTTGACTTCTAACTTAGACACAAATACCATGTATTATTTTTGCCAAACAGATTTTAGTTCTTGCCTCAAAAGTCACGCAGAACCTGT